TGGTGCAAATTACTGACCTCTGTCATCATTTTAAGTGGGGGAACTTGCACAATCGGTGGCTGACTAAATACTTTTTTGCCCCACTGTATTACTTTACATAATCATTTTAGACATTGATTAGCTCACATCTATGTGGTGGCTTTTTGACTACAACCCAGTTGTTGCTTCACAATGACTACAGTTGGTAATTGTGGATGGATTTCAAACTTTAAAACTTTCTAGCCTGATTTGTTCTTCACTATACTTATCAACCAGCTTGCTCATCAGCCATCTATCAACTGTCATTCCCTCACCTACCACTTGCCTACTATCCTTTTAGTCACAGACCGAACAACTTTATTTAATTTTCCTGTACCATGCTATCATGTATTTTACCAAGCAATTCTTCTCACACAGTCAGATATATATTTCCCTCAGTACAAGCTTCACTCACACACCTAAAACAGGAACTATTTTCTATGTCTCCACTCATTCAACCCTCTCTTGTACTCTGTTCACATGTGAAACCAAATCATCTTTCCCTAATCTAAGAACACTCAACTAATTTGCATATTGACTCATAGCTCTCCCACTTGGCCAAACAACAGAAATGCATATTAAAAATATTACCGCAAAATTAAAATTTCTTCATACAGTAGTCACTGGTGTTGCTCAATCAGCAAAAGACCTCTCACAATTTACTATTTTAAAACTAAATTTATTGTTTGATCACTGGTTGGTCATAACAGTCTGTTTTCCTTTTCACAAAAGTCAACCTGTGTTCGTCCAACTTGCAGAGCTATTTCTCAGCGATGGATAACTTCAGCATCTGATAGCAAGTGTCTGTTAAATCTACACTATTTAGCATTTATGTGATATATTAGCATTCATGAGTGTAAGCTGATCTTCATTGTATGTATGGATTTGTATTCAGATTAATGCATGCATATTGGCGTGGAGCTGTGGATGCAAACTGTCTCTCCCAGCTCCTGATTCTCTCCAAAAATAATTTCATATGTTTCTATTTGTGTATGTGTGTTTTCTATTCATTTATGTAATTATTAGTTTATTTCTTTATATCTTTATTTTATTTACCTTTCTGTTACAAGGGTCTGGACACTTTCTCAACCAGTCAGCCTCAATTTTCAACTCAATTTTCATATGCTCTCACTTTAACAGCACAAGCTGTTAAAGTGAGAGCCCTCGTCTTCTCTTCCCACAGTTGCTTCCTGCTCCCTGAGATCTGCAGCAATGATACGCCCAATGAGCTGTTTCTTCTTCTCTGTTCGTTCTCTCTTCTTTTTTTCAGTCTCTTATTTTGCCGGTTAACTCCCAGCATGGCAAATGTGAAACTCAGACAGTCCCATCAAGTCCATCCACACAATGATGTCACCTGTAAACTGCCAGCTTGGGATTAAGAACGCATGCCTCTGTAGAATACACCAGGCACAGACACACGCACACACAGGTAGGTACAGCCAACTTCCACATTTATTCAAGTGTTGTTGTTTTGACAGCTGACTCAGTCACACAGTCTGACAGCTCACGAGCCCAGCTGATCTCTCTCTGGCCGCTCCTCCTCGTCTCACTATAAACACAGCGGAGGGAGACCATCATCAGTCCATAAACAACATCAGCTGTTCTTACCGGCCTCGCAGCGCCGCCCTGTTGAGCCTTCCGCTCCACTCCTCCCCTGCAGCTGCGCCCGGGGCCACGCCTCCGCCACACACCCCCACCGCCCGTTCGAGGCCGGGGAGCCGTCCGGCCGAGCCAACTCCCCCCCGCGAGCGAGAGAGGAAATCGGCCACTGCCATCTGCGCCCCCGGCCTATGGATCACCTTGAACTTAAAGGGCTGCAACGCCAGATACCACCGGGTGATTC